ACAAAGAACGAGAACAAGAACAAGAGAGAGGGAGGGAGAGAAACAGAAAGTGTGAGACAGAAAAAGAGAGAAACAGATGGAGAGACAGAGACAGAGAGAGAGAACGAGAACGAGAACAAGACGGAGGGAGAGAAACAGAAAGGGTGAGAGACAGAAAAAGAGAAAGAAACAAATGGAGAGAGAGAGAAAGAGAGAACAAGAGAGAGGGAGGGAGAGAAACAGAAAGTGTGAGAGAGACAGAAAGAAAAAGAGAAAGAGAGAAACAGATGGAGAGGGGGGGAGAGAGAGAACAAGAGAGAGGGAGGGAGAGAAACAGAAAGTGAGAGAGAGGCAGAGACTTAAGGACTGAATCCTTCCCAAAGAATTCTCTGTCAAATGTCACTCTCAGGCAGGGCCAAGGGATCTCTCTGTCAAATAGTCTTTTTGAGATCCCTCTGGTCACACACCCACACACGCCGCAGCCTTTTATGCAATGCCTTCTCCTACGCAACTCCCTCTGCACACATACGCAGAGGCCCCGAGGGCAGCTGGAGTGTTTTCACCTCTGTCCAAGTCAACATTTGCTCCTCTGATACAACAAAAACCAGGGTTGTGGTTTTTTTCTCCCCTGCCCCTTCCCCATTCAGGGTTGGAGGTGGTCATTCCTGAGACCCGACAGGATCATCAGAGGAAGGAGATCAAGTGATCCTTTGGGCAGCCGATCCCTTTAAGGCTCCAAAGGGAATCAGGGATGCCAGAACCTTCAGCCTCATCAACACAAGAACCAACTCAGTGGCCTCTTGTAATCCTGCAGCGCCACCTAGTGGGAGGTTTCTCAGGCGTGTTGGCTTCTAGCCGCACTACAGGATGCGTTATCGCAACCGAACAACACAACGAAAAATTAACAAGCGTTCAAAGAGTGTGTGTATCGTTTGTGGATCACAAAACAGCCAGTAGGATGCGGCGATTGAGATTGTGCTGGATTAGAAGTGGCCAGATCCAGATCCTCGTCGTCCATGGCAGCCGGCTGGGTGATGATGGTCCTACTTGGTCCCTCCCATCTCAGATCAGCGTCGCCTCCTGTAACATCCTGGCTGGAAGTGAGATCCCCGATTGCGTCCTGCGAGCACAAAGGGGCCCTGGCTTCAAGCAGCACCCACCTTAGCTGCGGTTTCAAAAGGTTGACTCGGAAACTCTCACCAACTGGGCCTTCGGCTCTCCACTTGGGAAAAAATAATAAGCATTTTCCCCAGGAGGCCAACTACGTTTTTCATTTTGAAAGCTAGCAAAGGAAGAATGGAGGCGGCTCCCGACCACCAGAGGAATCGCAATACCCTCAATCCAAGGGGAAAGGGGAGGTGGCCAATGCAGGGAAGGCAGGGGTCTCGCCCGCCCTGGCCAAAGGCCCAGATGAGAGATGGACGACTCTTGAAGGCCACGGGTCGTAGGGTGCCGCCGCTTGGCCCAGATCAGGGGTCTCCAAACTCTGCAACTTTAAGACTTGTGGACCTCAACTCCCAGAATTCTCCAGGCAGCATTTAAGCACACAAACCTCACAGTTGCCAAGTTTGAAGGGGGGGATGGCCTAGACCAGTGTTTCCCAACCTTAGCAACTTGAAGATGTCCGGACTTCAACTCCCAGAATTCCCCAGCCAGCATTCGCTGGCTGGGGAATTCTNTCCTTATTCTCATCCAGGGCCTCAGCCAGCTTGTTGAGTTTCCCTTCGGGGATTTCCTGGAGCTGCTTCATCACGTTAATAAGATCCTGGATGCTGATGAGGTTCTCCCTAAATGGGAAACGCAGCCTGTAGTGAAGCAAGCGGTTACTACCGAGAGTCAGAGCCTTTGTACAACCCGCCCATCTCGTTCCTTCCGGTGGGAATCCCATTTATTTGCCCCCTGGATTTGGAAAGGAGGAAAGCAGGAGCCCCTCCGAGACGAGGGCAACCTATGTTTTGTTCCTCAAAGCCTGGTCAACAAAACAAAGACCCTTCCTTGAACGGACTGCGAGGATAAAAACTCACCTCCCTCGGCCGCACTCCCAACCACTCACCCAATGGGACCCCCGCCCGGCTCTTCTCCGAGGGGCTTTTGGTCTGTCTCCAACTCCTGAATGATTCGATCGATCTGCCCGATCATTCGGTTCACTCTTTTAGTCAGCCTCTTGCTGGCTTTGGATTCTTCAACTATTTCTTCTGGTCCACTCTTAGTTAGTTCCTGGATTTCTTGCACATCCTAAGGACGGAAGAGGCGACCATAAACCTTTTGATACTAAAGAGGGGAGGGGGAGAGGAGAGCCACTGGGGCCCCCTCAGTCCTCCGAAGACGCAAGGCGCTGTTTGTGCCTGTGGCAGACACTCAGCCGACCTCTCAGCCTGGCAGAGCTGAGCGAGGGGGCGAGGCCCAGGACTGAAGGGGAGCCAATAGGGCCGGTGACTCTGCTCCGCCCTGTGGTGCGGATCTACAAGCACTGAGAGAAACACACAAAGGCGGCTGCACTTTGAGCAAAAAGGCCACCAGAGCTGCCGTTCATAACCGAGCAAAACCCGGCGTCTCTTGGGGCTGTGCGTGATCTCTGTTCCCCTCTTATCAGAGCTGGGAGACCTAGAAGAGGAGCCCCCTGGCATAACTGACGGCTGGCGCTCATTTTCCTTCTGCCCCCTGACCTCCCCTCCGGCCTCACCTCGCTGTATTCCTGCACATCATCCTTCAGGTCCTCCAGTTCCTCCTTCTCCTTTGTCAGCAATTTCTTTTGTTCCTTCAGTTTAGTGCAAGCATCGCTTAGCATGTCAATCTCCTCCTTTGTTATCTCTTCGCCCTGAGTAAATGGAGAAAGGAAAAAGAGCGCTCGGCCTCCCTTGTCCTCCACCTCCTCCTTCCCTAGTGTAACAGACATGATACAAGAGGCTCTACGGGACATCCAGGAGCCAGAGGGGTTGAGGGGCAAGGGATGCTACCGGGAGGGGAGGCCCCGGGTCTCTCTGGATGCCAGCCCATGAATGCAGCGTGAATCTTCACCGTGGCAGATATATTCAGGAAGAGATCAATTGCGACGGGTATGATTCTCAATATGTCATAGATTCACTCTGCGTAACGTGCAACCGTCTATTTATAAATACAAAAGAATGGGCTCAGGTACGAGTGGCCCATGCCTGCCTCTCTGACTCCACTCCCAGTTACAGTACAAACTACAATTTCATGTTT